CTTAGTTTAAGTTCCTGAACAACAACCCAGTAATTAGTGCCATTTGGGGTTGTCCTACAATTTCTTGGGGTAATGGAAACAAAAATGGAAACTACTATTTGGTCTGTAGGGTTTGGGGATATGGGGGTTTCCCAAAATTAGGCGTACTTCTCTGGGGGTCCTTGCAATATGCATTAGAGTATTTTATAGTTGAATTTCGGGTCCCCCTACTGTGGAAAGCTACCGTTTCCGTGCAGCAACAGATGATCAGGTTTGGGCTTAGCTAGAGTAGCCTGCTTCGCCCTAAACCCCACCTAGAAAGCCTAGTTACCCATAATAATGAGCTACTTTGACCATCTTTAACCCAAAGTAATAGGAAATTAGGGGAAAGTTGTCTATAATTATGGGTAACTGGCTTTCTAGGCAAACCCTAAACCCACAAAGGCCATATCCCTACACGGAGGAGATGGTCCAAAGCACCTCGGCAAAATGGGCTCCAAACCCTCCTCAACATACCCCCAGTAGCCAGATCCCCAAATGGATCTTAAAAATAGATCCCCTAGAACCATAGGGTAAATTATGTGAGGGTTATATAGGGGTTATAATGGTCTATATAGGGATCTATTTTTTAGATCCTCCCAGGGGTCTGGATAGCGCGTCTAGGGTTTCAGGTTTAGGGTGCACCAGAACATGACATGCTAATCTTTCGTGGCTCATTGCGCGGGGATTTGGACGACCTTGGATCCTGTATCATCCGCATGAAGGACGGTTCCCAAAAAGGGTATCCCTAATCCTCTACGCTCTAAACCCTACACGCAGGTGCTTCCATGGGTTTCTGAGATCGCAAAATACCTGTCCCTACTGGGATAGTATTCTGTCAGGCCGACGGACAAGGGTCCGATAAAACAATGGCCTGAACGCGAAGCCCTAGAGGGTAGGTTTGTTAATAAATTGTACCATAGCAAACCCTAAACCCTAAACCCTATGAGGTTGGATCGACCGAACAAACATGGAGTGGATGCGCAAGGCTGCAATGGCAAGTGCGAGACAGCAGCAGCTTCTTGGCCATGAGATCTTTAACCTCCCACCCCGGGAGTGATAGATATCCCCCCAGGCTTCGGGTTTAGGGTTTAGGGGCTGGAGGAGGTCGTTGCTGAAAACTTACTCATGACTCTTATGAGGATATAACTATGACCGTAGGTTATAAGTAACATGCCCCTGCATGTGTTGGGGGCCTGACTGACATGCATATGTGTATATGTGCTCACCAATTTTTCCACAGCCAGGTGAAATGGACACAGAATTGACAGAATGTTGCTACCACTCACCGAGGCGGTCCAACACCCCTTAGCAGATGTGGAATCCCAGCATCGCTCACGGTATTTTGCGTAAAGTCTAAACCTTAAACCCAACCCTCAACCCCAAACCCTAAACCCTGAACCCTAATCTAGATCCTGAACCCTAAAACCTTGAACCCGAACCCTAAACCCTGAACCCTAAACCCCTAAACCCGAAACCCAACACTCTCCATGAAGCTCCGAGGCTCTCTGGCTGAAGCCAAGCCGCTCTTCCAATCGACAGACTGTCGATTTGGTGCTTCCGAAAAAGAGCGGAAGCCTTTGAGCTATAGTCTAAACTCCTTAAAGAGGGGTTATATAGAGGATTATCTCGAGACTACTATAGGGGTCCTTAAGGGGGATATTAGGAGTTTAGACTATGGTTCGTTTGGGGTTTAGGGTTTAGCATTTAGGGTTTGGGGTCTAGGGCTTAGGGTTTAGGGCTTTGGGGTTAGGGTTTAAGGTTTAGGGCTTTGGGCTTAGGGTTCAGGGCTTAGGGCTTAGGGTTCAGGGCTTAGGGCTTAGGGTTTAGGTCTAGTGACAGTAATATTCTAGCTTAGATGGACTCCCACCCTGTCATAGTGGTATGATAGGTTCTCACCATTATCCCTTAAAGTCACTATTTTAGGGTGTGGGGTCCACCTAAGGTAGCATTTGGGTTGAGGGGCATAGTAGGAATGTAAAGGGGAATGAGTACAACCGGTCAGTTTCAGTGTGTGAGGAGAGCCCAATACAAGTTTAACAGGGAATGCGCCCTACATGATATTAGAATCTCTAGTATGATTCAGGGTACAGTCAAAATTAAGGGGTTTTGGCTCCCTGAAAAGCAGGAGCGCTTATGCGGGATTTCTGGAAGGCTTGACTTGACGGTTTTTGGGCAGATGTGTCATAAGGGATAGACGAAGAAGAAGCAGTACAGTGCTCCTCCAGGGGTTAGGGCTGAGGTTTAGGGGGTTAGTAGGGGAATAAGGGAGAATGTAGGATTAAGGGGTTAGGGTTTAGGCTTTAAGTTCCGTGTCTGCGTGGAAACCGCACCCATCCATTTTGCTGATCGCAGTAGCTTTGTGTATGTTCTGCCAGGAAATACACCTACATCTACGACAAGCAGGGGATAGAGCATCGCCCTGATAGCGTGCATGGTCACACATGAGCAATAGTCTAAACTCTTCGTATCCCCCTTAATAATCCCTATAGTAGTCCCCCATATAATCCCTTATATATTCCCCTTGAAGGAGTTAAGACTATGGCTCACATGAGGATTTTCAAAAAGCAGGGCCCCTTCTTGTGAGTCTCCCTCAACAAGGATTACACTGCTTTGGGGTCTTCATATCGGGGTCCCTGCTTTGGGAACCCTACATGGGTTTGGGCAGGCTGTCAATGCTTGCTCGTAAGGTTGCACTGCATCAAGCAGCAGAAGTGGCGGTCTCAGCGTTGTCATATGTTTGGTGACTTGAATGTTCATGGGTGGGTACAAGTTGGGTTCCACATATCATCATACTTATCATCTGATTTAGAGGATTTTGCCCCACTGATACCTGCCCACGAACCTACAAGTCATGATCCATGACCTGGCATAGCTAGGTCGCCAACGCACTTGGATTTTCTGCCCTACCACTTCCTTCTTGTCAGTGCAGGCACGTGTTTTTGCCCTGAAACCTTAAACCCTCAACCTTAAACCCTAACCCCCAACCTTAAACCCTAAACCTTAAACCCTAAACCTTAGACCCTAAACCTTAAACCCTAAACCTTACACCCTAAACCGTCCTCACTTGAGCTCATTGTATATCACGTGTATGGTTGCGCAGGCGAGCGTGGGGACATCACGTGGCGGGACATCTCTTTTGGAGAGCAGGCTCCCGCAGTCGCAACAATCAGAACAAGATAGGGTTTAGGGTTTAAGGTTCAGGGTTCAAGGTTTAGTGTTTAAGGTTTAGGGTTTAAGGTTTAGGGTTTTGGGTCTAGGGTAACAATAAAGGTAATAATAGCAGCCGTAATAGCCACAGCAATATCACTAAGAGCAACAAGTGTAACAAGAACAATAACATTAACACGAATATGCCCTTCCTCTTAGTAATTAACCTCGCAACACCCCCAGCAATCAACCCACTCAATATGGTACCAGTAAGTATATTTGGAGAATGTTTCTTACTAAGGGGCGTGGGCGGTTTGATTTACTAGGGGAGCAGAATAGTAAAAACCCTACACCCTAAATCTTAAGCCCCAAAAAGAAGAGCAAAGATGGATGCCTCCAGGTGGCGGAGCACAAAACTCACCTGGGCCCCACCACGTCCAAGCCTTAGTGCTTTTGCTACATGGGGGTTTCCCGGTCCTTTTCAAGGGGCTTTCTAGGGGTTGTAGGGATTGTATAGGGCATAGACTGCCCTTTTCTGGGAGTCCCTGCAGTAAGGATGATATTGCACTCAGGTTTATGTTGGGCCCCCTACTCATGGAAACTTCCACATGCTGGTGCTGTGGTAGGGCGTGGCGAGGTGTATGCGGCACAACCCGATCAATGCCGTTATGCATTTGGGCCACAGCAAGGCAAAGATGCAAGTGATGGAGCATGTCTTCTTTCCTTGACTGTAAGTGCAAGCAGGGTGTGGTGACGCTGTGGACACCGTCTGAAGCCCAACGCCAATCTTTGAAATAGTGGAAAACCCTTTCTCCGGGTAAGATTATAATAGGGTTATATAGGGGATATATTGGGGATAATGGAAAATAAAATGGAAACTACTATAATATTGGTAGCTTCCCAACAACGGTGGCTTCCTAGGAATGTGAAGGAGCCGGTGGTAAAGATGGCATGCCACAACGCGAAGGCCGGCCTCCACCAATGCCAAATGGCAGTTGATCAGAATAACCCAGGGATACTATGGTACCCATTATATAATGGAGAATCAAATGGAAAAGAAAATGGAAAGTGAAATGGAAACCCTAAACCCTAAACCCTTAAGGGGCCTATAGTCTCTTTAGCGTCCTCATCCCCTAAACCCCTAAACCTGAAACCCCTAAACTCGGATCCCTCTAGATACCCCACTTCACCCAAAATTTGGTCATTTCCCAAGACAGGGGGCCCAAATAAAGAGGCACAAACTTTAGAATCCTTGCTAGGGCACCCCCCCAAAATGGTACCCCTAATTTTTGGAAAGTCCCAATTGTCAGAATCGGGATGTTTGGATTCTCCTGCAGTTCGAGGTGAGTGCAATTGCGGTCTCCGGCAACTACATGGCTGGGACCTTAGATATGATTCTAGATTACATAGGGATTATAGAGGTTTGAGTCAAACGGACAACAAAAATGGAACATTCAATGGAAACTGGGCCTACTGAGGGATATATGGTAGGTATAGTAGTTGCCATTTTATTTTCCATTATCCCAATTAACCCATATATAATCCCAAGTTAACCCTATATAAAGATAACCCCAATAATCCCTATGGTTTCCATGTCGTCAGATCTAAGGTCCTTGTCGGGGTACCGTAAGTATTCGGAGTGTATTGTCTAAGGCACCAAAGAGGGACCATAATTCTGACCACCTACACCTACCAGATCTAGCATTCACTGATGTATTCATGCTCTTGATGGAGATAACATAATCTATAAGATAGAGCAAGATCATCTTTTCTTTGCTTTTCTAAAGTTTTAAGTATGGACCCTAACATGGGCGGATTCTAGGGGCCCTTAAGGTTACATGTCGGGTATATAGTGGGCATACAATTGCAGCAGATCACTTGCCAGTCACGCGAGCCTCCAAGCAACGTCAGTAGGCATATAAGGATCCCAGATTTAAGGGCCCCCACTAGGGACCATGGTTTCAACTTTAGATATTTTCGGTTGTTGTGTTTTCATGAAGAATGTCGTCTCAAATGAAAAACCCCCATCATTAGGCAGGACCCTATGACTATCATATGATGGTTACAGGGTCCTTATTTTGGGGTTGGGGTTGCCGAAATCCCCATATTAGTCTCACTGGGTTAGGCCATCAAAAAACCCTCAGCCACTTCCAACAAATTACCATCCTGGCTTCGACTGTTTCAACCTGACTTGGGGGTTTCCCCAAATTTGGAGTAGCATTAGAGGGGATAAAGCGGATGTATCTAGGGGCTCTAGGGGGGTTATATAGGGTTTTGGGTTTAACCAGCAAGAAGAAGGTGGTGAGTCCTAGGGTTCAGGATTGGGGTTCGGGCCTGACCTGTAGACCTTCCACCCTGAAAAGTTTAGGCCCTAAACCCTAAACCCTAAACCCTCAAACCCTAAACCCTGAACCCTAAACCCTAAACCCTAAACTGCAGAGGCCTCAAGGAGGTGCGTAGATCGGGGCCTCTCCGGACTTCATTTCTGAGCTTGATATGTTTAAAATGTTGGGTGCAAGCCCTAACCCTTGTTTAAGGTTTAGGGTGTAGGGTTTAGGGGGGAAAACCTTCAAAAACCTGCGGCCGTATAGGGATTTCCCCAAATTAGGGGGGATATTTTTTGGGAGGTCCCCATGGTGAGGATCATAGTATTTAGGGGTCTGTAGTGGGGTCTCCCTAATTAGGGCCGCTACCATATTCCCGTAGTGCTGCGATTGCAGCGTTCATGCAATGCTCAGTTTGATTCAATTGTCGCCCCCATATCGGAAGAGCGAGTGTTAGCAACAAAAGGCACCCTACAACAAGCCTGAACGCTAAACCCTATAAATGGTAGTTTCCATCTTCTTTTCCATTGTCCCAATATAACCCCAATATACTATAGTAGTGTCCATTTAATATCCATTTTCACTAATTATAAGCCAAAAAGTGACTCTTGCTTCACAAGTTGAGGTCACGGCAGGAGCCGAGTCGAAGTGGAAGGCTTCAAACATGTCTCTGTACCTATAGTCCCCCTTAAGTAGGTAGAACGTGGCTTTGGCTACATTATAGGAAAGATCCCCATATACCCCATATTCTATCTACTTTCAAGGGACTATACACTTTCTTGGGTTTTAGGGATTAGGGGCCAGGGTTTCGGGTACAGGCAGTACACGGGGATTTGTTGGGAGCACAGAGCTGCACAGGGACTAGATAAAGATATTCTTCACAGGTACCATTGTCTAAACTCCTAGTATCCCCCTTAATAACCCCTATAGTAATCCCCTATATAATCCCCTATATAACCCCCTTTAAGGAGTTTAGACTATAGCTCACATGACATCGGGGTTCTCAAGATCATCGTCCGAATTCTTGAGGCTTGCATTGTGC